AAGCAGTGCACGTGTACCTAATTCTCTTACATAATTTCGCGAAGTGATGAAAAATATTGTTTTGATTGCCTATTGAAATTCATGAAAGGTTAACATATCTAAATCTATAAGATTTTATATAATCAAACGATTAATAAACATAATTTCTGCTGCATGCATACATGTGCTGATGACTGACTGTCAACGTAGACTTTGTACTATGAAACCGATTGTTTTTATAAGTCTAATCGATCCCAATAAGCTATACTAAATAGTCATATAATTACGGCTGCTCAACAATCAAACCGTCTAATAAAAATCAAAACCAAGTAACACAATCCATATTACCTCTTTAAAAAAAAACTATAAAAACTTCAACAAAAAACCGTCTGTTTTTGGCAAGCAAACTTAACCCCACCGCCGAGACAAATGACGGGGGGTCGCTCTCACATCAATCTGCTTATTACGAGCGACCTGAAGTAAATCATTTATTGTGCGATCTAAATCTAGCTATTTACTCAACGATGGGTCATGGAGTGCCATCAGTCAGGCGATAGTGACTCTTTGTGGGTCATTGTTTATCGAGTTTTTGTACGAAAGTAAATGGGAATGAAAAGTGAATCGAAATTGCTACTTTCAGAGGTCTTATGTGTGTTAAGTTTGGGATGTATGATGTAGAAATTTTGTTGGACCGTTTGATTGCTATGTAGTATGTATAATATCGTACCTTTTCACTGTGGTTTCATTTCCCAATAGGATAATCAAGGATATATATCAACATGGTTAGTTGGATGTAAGATATCTTAATTTTATCATAATTAATTATAATGTAGATTTCTGATAATACTTACAATATAAATCGTATATTCAAAGTCGATTTTACTGCCGACTCCATATGACCGAAGGACTGTCATCTAATGCTTTTAGTAAAACACGACTGACATGACATTCCAAAACAGTCACGTGAACATTTATACGCTTTGGTACTGACTTACCTTACTTAACTATCCAAAATCCGACTAATGAAATGTTATAAAATATGACTTGACTCCATGACAGAAAGATATATATCGATAAAATATGAACAGAATTGATTAGAGTCCTCATAGTTAAAAAACATTGGATCATTTATGCCTAACCAGTCATAAAGTAAAATGAACTCCACCCATCACGATAGTAATCCATTTTTTCTATCATTCGAATGATTTGTACGTCTACGGATAGCCCACAGATGTTCAATCATCATTCGTTAAAATTAAAATCATAACCCAAACACTATGTAACGATTTTATTAGTGACCCTTTTTTTTCAAAGGCCCTTAAGCCGATCGTAAATAACATTGGAAATAATTAAACATTCTCGACAACTACACTGCCATCACAATAAATAAGCGAATTTACTGTCCAGAAACAACTATAATTAAAAGCCAGGAAAAAAATAAACACAGTATTATTTCATTCGATGCCATAAAAAGATGATAAACAGCCTATAAATCATGCTATCCATCTCGCGACTGCGAGGCTCGTAAATCGTGGCCAATGGTACCCCAATGTACCACCCCGGCGGGCGGGGGGGTTGTATTCATTAATTTGATGATATAAAACAAAATGTCATTTTAATTAGTCACCATTATTAGACGTACAATGACAGACAGCGGTCTAGGGGGGCGAGAGGACGTTTGTCTTGTTTGGGGTTGGGTCGTTGGGGCGAACGGGGATGTATGGTTACTTAGGTGCGGCTGAAACGTCACTTTTAAACTCAGAAACCTTCCTGAAAAGTCACTGAACTCTAATTTCTGATATAATCTTCAAAGTAGTATAAAAAACAAATATTAGTGATACGGGGTACCCGGTAACGATAACTGCATATTATTATATCAATGAAAGAGTACCTACCTATCATTATAAGTATGTATTAGGTAAATTATTATAACTCTATATCTTATTAATCTGGACAGAGATAACAAGTTACCTATATCCTTGTTAAATTGTGTGTTATACCTAATATTCAATCAATAGGTAGGTAAAATAAACACAGGTGTTACTTTTTTGTTTTATCTACATATTTTCCAGTTCCGTCCAAAATCTGTTCCCGTATATTTCGTTTACCTGTAGCGACGAATACTTGCCTTCAAGGGTTTGACTGACGGCCCGTCTGTCACAGCTCTCATCCCAACATCTCCCTTGCCAACCTATCCATTACCGCTTACCTTCGAACAAGTTAACAGCAGACGCCTGTTCAGTCGTCAATGGATGATATAAGTGGGATATTCTCATGTATTTCAGGTCGTGGTACAAAATGTGCGTAAACTGCGATGAATGACGTAATTTAGGTGATAAAGACGAGGTTTCGTAGAGTTAAGACGTCTCGCTGAGTGATTTCGGGGTCGGACAGATTTAGTGGTGCTCACTGCCACGTGTTTTATGACCGGCTAATTGCTGATTTTTAGCCTTGTTTTTGTAAAAATGGGCATAAATTGTCCTGGTATACTGTTTTTATTCTAATTATGGTAATTTAAATGTTGAATGTCTAAATTATACATGGGTATAATATCTGCATACTTAAATATATCTGGTTCTGTTCGAACCCAAACCCTCACGTTCATCAGTCGTGCTTGATATTAGTGGTAAATTGTAAAATTTAAAAAGATGGATACGTATTGTTTGTTAAGTAATATAATTATCGATGTTTGTATGAGACTCGTAATATCTATATGTAAGTAGCAAAAGTAGGTGTTACATTTAAAGTGCATATTACCTACACTTTTAAGTAACATTAACGAAACAAATACGATTGTTCAATAATGTATGAGCGTTCACACTCTATTCTATAGAACATATAACAGAAAAACAGTGAGTGCCACATTAAATGTGTGCTTCTGGACTGTACATCCTTCTTATAAACAAAAGGCGTAAACTTATGCATTATCAACAATATAATCAGCAATTTCAATCTACTTATATTAAGCAGTATCAATATAAATAGTGTTTCAGATAATTCAGTTTAATTTGCACTAAGAATTTAGCAACTAGTTGCTACGAGTTTGCCTACGGCGTAGCAAGTGGTTTTCCATAGTTAGTACTACTTAAATATTTGAAGTAACTATTGTTTGCTTTTAAAATATTGTCATGGCTAGTAACACGGATTATTACCATTGATTAAATATCTGTATATATTTTAAAATGGTTTTGAAAAGAGGGTAAGCAGATAGCTGGGATGAAGAAAACGTAAACTTCGTGCTACGAACGTAAGTATTAGGTTATTTTTTTGGAACAACATTACTTTTACTTATCTATGAGTGAAAGAATAATAGACCCTGATTGATAGACAATGTGGACTTTTAGATAACATTGATAACATTGATAAAATAGAAAATATTGAACTCAAAAATCACCAAGTGTTTTGCTCTAAACTATCTTATAGGGTTTTTCTTTGTTTTATAGTGAATACTCTTAGTACCGTTGTAATGAATACTTAGAGGTTTATTGGAATTTCAAATTCGAAAATCTCAGTAACACTTATCGCACAAATTGTGAGTCGAACCCGAAGTTTCGCTTGGCAGAATTTGGAACCAGTTAATCATAGAAAAAAATATTCTTTGCACAAAATCGGGAGTCGAATCCGAAGTCTAAGCTTGGCAAGTTCATATTTGCAATCAGTCAGTCGATTATAGAAAATCTTTTTTATCAAATTCCTAGATATTGTTTTGGTTTATCTCATAATTTCAACAATTATGGAAGGTGTTCCAAAATCCATGGTAGCCATAAATTCTACAGCAGATACTTACATGTTTAAGTACTTCATGGTAATATTTTCGATATACTTACAATTTTGTGTTCCATTTCCAGGTTCACCTTTATTTCTTTTAAGTTCTTGTTGAAGTTTGAGTTCAGTGGCGACTATTGAAGGGGCTTAGCTCCAGGAGGTGGACATCTCCGCGGTGATGTTGATGATGGTGATGATGTCATTATATATATATTGCTTTTATTTTTGCCTGACTGCCTCGTTGGCCAAGTGGTCGCATGTGCGACTGCCGGGCAAGGGGTCTCGGGTTCGATTCCCGGGTCGGGCAAAGTATTACTGGGTTTTTTCAAGAAATCTCAGTGGTAGCACGGTGTCTGGAATTGTGTGTGAATTGTGTGTGTATATGATTGCCATATACACACAGCCTATTGAGGCTCACCCCCTATTACATGAGACTCATAACATAATAGTGAAAAGTGGGTGTTACATTATACAGTGGTATAATGTGCACCTTTGCCTACACCTTCGGGATAAAAGGCGTAATGTCTGTTTTTTTTTATACAGAATAGCAAACGAGCCGACGGATCACCTGATGGTAAGCGATCAGCGACACCCATGGACCGACACCAGAGGAGTCACAGGTACGGTGCTAGCCTCTGTGTAATGTTCTATGTCATTATTTAATCCTAAGGAAAGGTATTTATATCTTACCATAATATGAGTAAGATTCTCTCAGGTAAATTTAGTATTTTCTGTGTGTATTTCTTAGTGTTATTTACCTTCACATCAAATTATTGTCTTTGATTCATGCAAGGGGTACAATGTGGCTATACATATAGTACTATGTACTAAGTAAAGAGATTGGAAATGGTAAGCTTATGCAATTTTCTTTAAAGATTTGTTTTGTTTGTGCCATTTTTGTAGCGGTCTTACTGGACAAATGTTTTTTAACATTGATCAATACATTTTTGCTGTTTCTATACGGACTTAATTGCGATTATTAGACTTGAGTATGTTCTAAATATAACTTAATTTCAAGACCTTAGTCCAAAAAAATTTTCCACTAATAGTAGTAGCATAGGCCAAAGAGTATTGTTGTATTGGTTATTCAAATATTGTTGTTTTAGTTTTCTGTGTTTGTGTAAGTATGTGTAGTGTGTTTCGTGTATGGTTTTGGTAATCGGGGTAATTTAAAATAAAATGAACATTTAAAGTATGTAACATATATATTTCTTTGAGCTTTTAATTGCATTTTGAAATACAACATAAAATATTAAATAAGATTATTAAATTTGGTAAAATCAATATTTCAACACCATTTTTTTACTTTTTTTTCTTAAGAATGAGCAAAAATCTCTCATCAGAGCTAGCGTATACATAATATTTGTCGTATGTTTCATTATTATCGTTAAAATGATAGAATTTTTTACGATTTCAAATTTTTATCGATTTTAAACATCATTCGCTGAATATTCGTAACTTTAAAACAAAATATAATACTTTAAAACATCAAAAAATAAAATTCGAAAACAAAATTTTAAAACTGTATATTCCATTAGAAAGGTCGTATACGTCGATAGGGTAAATGGAACTCTAACGTCACGAATATTCAGTTCACAATCAAAGTTTTATTCTTGATATCGTTTGAAACTTACATTAGACAGTTTACAATATTTTTATTAAATATAAAAGAGGTTCTTCACTCTCAATTGCCGTATATACATCATCGTATATCTGTCGTTACAAATTGGAAGATATATCAGGTATATCTTTATGTTCTAAACGTATACGAATGTTATCATTCCTTTCAACGAAAAAAAATGTATATGTATCACTTTTAAATATAGGTTGATCACTCAACCGATTAATGCGCTGGTATAATGGTATACAATTGTTCACAGATGTAGTTTACCTAACATTATGTACTTATCACTAAATAATAAATAGCATCCTCGCATGGAGAGCATACCTATAGCAAAATTTACACTAAGGAGATTGTTATATTGCATTCTATGTCGAATTGTATGTACAATACGAACAGAAACGAATGAGATTGAATCTCCGAGATTATACGCATCGACGGATCTCTTAAATTCACAAAATAAAACAAGAAAGTCATCAAAATATACATAAACTAACCACGTTAACCCTAACTCTGATTTACATAAAAAATTAAGTAACACGAAAAAAAAATGATATTGCAACGAATTTTCTGTAAAAATACTGAAGTCAACGCCACTACGCGACTAATACGATAGACGAATCACATGCGGAAGGCGAATTGCGATAAACGAATATCAATTTCCACGATTTACCTTTTCAAAGAATTAATTAGCAAAAAATATACATTTACAAAAAGAGATCGAATCGTATTTTACTTGACTTAATGTGACTTATATTTACATTTATCGAAATGGAATTATAACGTAGTGTGGAAGATAAGCCACGGGCCCTGGCGCCCTTACAACAACCGATCACCTAAAGGCAATATTTTGAAAATATTCTCTTAATACCTAAAACGAACGTAAGACGTTTGGCGTATACTTAAGTCGCTATTAATTTATTACACTAACCGATCTATGCGGTGAAATCTAACAATAATTACCTAAATAATTAAATTGGCAAAGAGTTTCGAAATACTTAGCGTCGCCGCTGCGACCTAACCCTAGCAAGGTTTAACGTAGCAAGATATGGTATCATCACAACTGCCGGCTGCCGCTCCAGCCTACACGTACTTACTGGAGAGCTGCTTGGCTAGTTCCGTGTACTTCAGGAACTTGGAGTGAGGGCTCTCGTCGAACGACTGCGAGGGGCTTCGCGGGTCCTGGGGCGAGGCGGCGTTGGAGCCACTCTTGTGTGTGCCCGGAGACGCTGCCCCGGTCGGTGCCTTCAGTGGGACTGGTTCGGGCAACGCACCATCTTTCACGAAGTGCATCTTCGACAGATGGTGTCGATATGCGCCCTTCGAAATAAAGGGTGTATCACATAGAGCGCACTTCATGATGGAGTCGGTGACGACCGCGTCATTGCATGCCCAGCTGAAGGTGAGGATACTTGGTGGGCCAGCTGGAGAGGGCGCGGGAGCTGGTGCACGTGAGGGATTGGACTCTGTTTTGTCGCAAAGTTTTTGTAGCGCCGCCAATGGGTGGCTACCGCCACGACGCGACGAGCTTGGTTCACCAGAAGAACCACCTCCAGCTAAGTTGTCGAACATGGAAGACAAAGCTCCCAGGCTAGAAGCGGGCTTACGTTCAGCGCCAGGAGTATTACCAGAGCGATCACTGGAAGGACTGCGTGGACTAGCAGCAGGGCTGGGTCCTTCACTCTCACGCTTAGCCACCACAGGCTTGACGTCTTCATCGGCAGTGCTGCTTGGTCGTGGTGGCTCCTCGTCCTCATCTACTTCAGTCTTCACTCGCACTGGCTGACTGCTCAAGTCTACACCATTCTCACGGTCTTCCTCCTCGACTTCCCTCTTTATCCTTACTTCAGTCGGACGGTCCTCAGAGGCTGGAGTTTGAGAACCGCGCGTGTCAGGAGTCGTGCGAGGAGTCATGTGATACGTATCTAGCTTTCTATCGGGAGTCAATGATTCTACTCTACTACCACCTCTCTCGGACATGGAGCTCGATTCGCTCCCGCTACGCTCGCGGCGCCCGTATCCTTGCTGGTGATGGTAATTTCTTAACATATTCATAGTCTGAGGATCTACCAGTGGTTTGGTATAGTCTACACTCTCATCTATGCCTAATCGTTTTAGGATACTAGACCCGATAGGTGCATGGGAAGCGCCGCCAGGCATACCAGGTACAGTGTGCCGCGATCGGGTGTCGAAACTCTTTTCTATCAATTGTTCTATGGCATTGAGAACCGAAGGTGACGAACTCTTTTCATTGCTCGCGTTGGGATCTTTGGAACTCGGGGAGGAATCGTTCACGGAGGATGGAGAGCGATGGTGCGCGGAGCCAGGGGAAGATAGCTCCTCGTTAATGCTCTTGCGGCCATCCCGGCTAGTGGGGGTGATGTGGCCGGGCACATCTGGTGGGATAATATTGTTAGATAGTAGGGCGCTCTTTAAAAAGTTCCTTTGGCTATTTGACATCGGCGCACCAATACATTGTCGTATGTGCTCGACGAACACAGCAGTCTCTATTTTGTCACCACATTTCTCACAGGTGATACGGCTGCCAGTACCAAAGTCTCTGATTGGTTTACCCATAGGCACACCATTGCCTTCCCCGTTTTTGAACTCATGTTGTGCTCTCTCCAATTCAAGGAGTTTTCTTACTGGTAATGACTTCTTTCGTTTTTCACGTGTCTGACGTCTTCTACCTCCGCTTTCTGTTATAGACCTCATAATGTGCTCTTTGTAGTGTGAATTTTTTACCATGTGGTTACTCAATTCTTTCAAGGAACTAAATGCTTGGTCGCAGACTTTACAAGTTAAAACAGCACTAACATGACTACTGGCACCCGTGGTGGGTGGGGCAGCATTGTTAGCACCCGGGGCGCTCGAGTTGGATCCTCCTTTGCTAGAGTCATCTGATGATTTCCACGAAATTATTTGTTCCTGCGATATGATATTAGTATAGTGCTGAGTTCGCTGCATGTGGCTGGTCATTTCAGCAAGTGAACGGAAACTCTCAGCGCACCACATACATTTCAATATTTGTCTCGTTTGTTCGGCACCCTTGCCTAACCATACGTCTTGTCCGCGGACAAGTTTTCTAGGAATTGGCATATTCTCCTTTATGAGCATGTTCAAATCGTTTTGGCTCGGTTTTGATGAACCGCTCGAAGAGGATGAATTATGTGATGGTGTGGAAGGTGAACTGGAAGGTGGTTGCAAAGATGGTGGAATTGGTGCTCCCGATGAAGGAGGGACGGGTACATTAACCCCGCAGTGCTTTGCTTCTTTCATGTGCACTGTTAGATCTGCAAGCGAGTTGAAGCTCTTCTTACACCATACACATTTTAGAACGTCTTTAGTTTGGTCCGCGCCTTTGTTGAGCCAGTGAGATTGCCATGCGGAGTGCCGTGCGGCTGCATTAGGAGCAAGACCAGCGCCTAGAGCGGCACTTTGTACTGATCGGAATAATTCTTCACCACCTAGCCTGCTCAGTTCGCTCATCTTTTCCAGTGCTTTTGTAGCATCGCTAGGAGTAGGACCGCCATGTTTTAATTTGCCATTCCAATCTGATGGAACACCTCCCTTGGGAGATAAACTAGCAGCAGCGACTGCAGCTGCGAAATAAGGTAGGTGCGGTGCTACTGGAGTCGACCAAGGGGAAGGAGAGTGTTTAAACTCTGACGGTCTAGAACTTTTTCTAGATGGGACTGGCGACGGCGAGTCCTCTGGGCCACGTTTTCTCGTCCCAACAGATAAATCCAAGGGACCGTTTTCATTTTTAGTAAGATTGACCGCATCATCATTGTCATCGTCGTCGTGCGGTGATTCGCTACGTTTTGTGCTGAAGTCAAGAACAGCATCACCTCGTTCAGAATCAGTTATGTCCTCCTGGCAGGACATGAGGAGACGTTGCTGGGCTGCGGCAGCGGCTGCGGCGCCGAGGTAGGCAGCTACAGCGGCCGAGTGCGGGGGCAGCAGAGCAGCGGGCAGGGCGGCCGTCAGCGCCGCGGGCAGTGGCAGGCCCGCCCCGCTGCGGCTCGAGTACACCGAATCATTCGAGGGACAGCGCGGTGCACCCGACGACTCCCGCGACAGACATCTCGGGCTCTCCCTGGGGACAAAAACGTTACATCGTTAGCTCGATTGACATAATTCACTTAACGAATATTGCCAACTCTATCTTGGCTCAGTGATTATCATAAACCGGTTTGGATTTGAAAATCGGTAAACAAAACGAATGCAAGTTTTTTTTAATGGCTATTTTTAATAAATTAATAGCTCGATCGTGAATAGCAAATAGACTCACTAATGGGTTTATATCGATCTAAAAAAACTTTATAGCTTGCTTGTCGGGTGTCCTTGTGGGTCGAGGTTTTGTTTTGTTACATTAATAATGACAATACGATCAAAAAACCTCACAGAGACAGAGTTGACGCATTGACATATAATTTTATGTGCTTCATAGAAAAAGAAAAACATTGGTGACACATGTTATTATAAATCTGAGGTAAATTGGGTACAAATAGGTCAACTTTTGAGACATGAATAATTAATCAGATATCGAAGACGTTATATTAATGGTGGCTATAAAATTTAATAATCACATTTGGACCGAGTAGAATATATTAAAATATTAAATCAATATTGTAAAACAATCATTCAGAGAATCGTGGTGATATCAGAGGTGATAAACATGACGAGCACAATGGCAGGTGACACAGCTTGTCCATTATTTATGAGACCATAAAATACAAAATAAAAACTTAATAAAACCAAGTTCCATTGTAAAGGAAAAGTGAAAGACTATTGAATATCCTCAAAAAGCTCGTGGGTAACTCGTAAAATATCGAATCAAATAATTTATCGTTGTTTTGGGAAACCGAAATACCGTATATGGGCAAAATGTTCTTTTAGATAAAATGGTATAAAATAAAGCACGATATTTATAATCTAGGCTTTAAAATTTTAAATATCTTCAAAATTATGTCGACGTTTTACAACTGTGCTTTCCTTTTGATTTGAATATCACACTGGATCACTTTTGTCAACCTTGTTTCAATATTTTTTTGACACAAAATGTGAATATAAATCTGTTTTATGAGATCGAGATTATTCAAAATATAACAGAAAACACTTTGAAAGTGAAAAATTCTACTTTGGAACACAAGTTAACTTTGTACATCCCAAGTAGTGGGTCTACGAAAATATTCTAAGTTGAATTTCGACAAGTTGGAAAGTAAAAGAAAACGATATACGATACCGGTCGACAATCAACATTGGGATGAGCAAATAGCTTAAACTATACAATTTTCACAAAAACATTAAAACACTTGTACAAATAGAAAACCTACCTCACGTGGTCGGGCTCGACAATCATTTTAGACGAAATGTTTTCAAAGTCCTCCAAACTGGTAACGGTGGAAAACTCGTGGATCCATCAATACAACACTCATACAATTGATAACACTTTGCTACTAGACAACAATAGAGACTCCCCAAAAATAGTTGAAAATGTAAACACGTCGCGAAAGACGCGCCGCGATGCCGGCGGTCGGGAGGGAAGTGCGCGGTGCCTGCGGCGGCGGCGGCGGTCCCGCGTGGAATGAGACGCCGCGTGATTTACGACCCGCCTGCAGCGCCCCCTCCCCGCACGCCCCTCGCTAGAAAGAGACAGGCGCCGCTACGATGAACCGCGTGACGCGAAAGACAGAGACGGCTATTGGTATCCCACTTCGAGGGGTGGCGCTGCGTAATGCAAGCGTGCGTGCGATGCGCGAGGTGGACGTGCAGTGACGGGCGATCGTTCCGATGACAGGCGACTGACACAGCGAAGCTACTCCGCATAGCTGAGTCACAGTCGTAAGACCAATGAAAAATGTACAGAGTATCCTTGATGGCCAATAGGCGTAATAACTTTTTAACGAGATTGTTTACGGAATTCCATTTATGTATGTGGAGTAAGCAAAAGATGAAGCGCGTTCGCCGTACTAGATTAAAGTTTCGAAGCTTAAAGAAGATTACCCGGACAGGGTTGACGGCGTTGACAAGGAAATGGCGCGTTAACAAAACGCCGAGACGAGTCCTTTTAACGACTCACGGACAGACAGGGGACGCGGACGGATTTACGCGTATCACGAACAGATTTCCTGCTTTGACAAAGGGAAAATATTTTCTCATGTTTATTTTATTTTTACGCAAGGAAACGTTAGGACACTTCCGAACGACAATACTATAAATGTCAGAAGGCGAATCGACAATGACAAGACATCGTCTAAATAAATAAATTAACAGAGTAAAGAAATATGTTCCGTTAATCCCCGGAAACTAATGTACTAGACGTTTTACTGCCTATAATGCTGTTTTTATTATCATTGAACGATCTCGAAGTAAATGTTATCAACGAATCCGATCTAAACAACTGTTATAGTGATTTGACAGAACCTCGTTCCATTCCCAAAAGTTTTGAAAAGTTTTTAATAAGAGAATCGCACAGCTGTTTATTGCTTCCTATGAGCATTAGTCGGCTGCGGGTCAATCAATCACGTGTATTTATGTGACAACTGTCTCCGTCTCTTTCCTGCGCCAAACTAAAATAGCCCGACTCGGTTGTGACATAAACAAAAGAATTCTAAGCTATTTCTCTACATGTAACGACAGATGATAAAAATGTTAGTGAGGAGTATTTTAGACTGTGGTCGTTTTGATGTGTTAGGAATTAGGACACGGCGGTTTTATGCGTCAATGTGTGCATAGTGCGGGCCGACGTATGGGGGACACCTGACATCGTTTGAATAATTTTGCAATAATGTAGCGAATTTTATAACTGACACATGTCTCCTTGGCTATAAAACTGCAGTGCGCTTGATAGCAGACATTTGTGAATAGATATTTAAATAAGTAGGAGAGTAAATGATGTATTCATGCAAATCAATACTATTGACCGAATATTTTATGAAAATAATGAAAAATATCCTTTCAACATTGAGTTTTTATAGAAACATTAATATTTTTGGGAAATAAACAGTACATATGATTAATTACTTAAATTGAGTGAGTGACTAAGTGAATGAGAATAATTAGCTCATTTTCCCTAAGATTTAGGGAGATAATAATGGAGAATAACAATTATAATCACTTTTAGGAAAATGATTAAAAGTGATAATAAGTACTTTAAATTCCCACATGAACCAATTTAGGTATTTTAATGCAGCGGGGTTCAAGAAAATTTTGTTGCAATGTATAAAGTTGATTAAAAATGATAGGTATTCATAAAATTATACCAATTAAAACTATTAAAAAATTTATTAAAACATTTGAAAAATACCAAATAAACAATATTAAAGAAACTGTACAGATTATTCGTCATATCGACAATGAAGAAAAACCAAGATCTGTGAAAAGTACAGAAGGACAAACATAGTTTTCCCCAAAAACCGTTATTATTAAATGTACATAAAACATTTGCAAGAACAACAACGGCAAATGGACTTCAAGACAGAATATTCAAGAATCCAGACAAACACTCGAACACAACAATACACTTGACCAAATTCTTTAAATACTGATCAAAATTACAAAATGTGAAGCTACCTATGACAGATTGGGTATAATTATTGTATAATGCAAGTTCCATAGCTTACGATCGTTTATTTTAATGAAAATAACATTTTATTGTTATTTAGTACTATTGTGTGGGGTGCGGTGCCAGAAGACCTCCCCGTGGTGCACCCTGGGTGCGGGCGACAGTCTCCCTAGCGGGGGTGATAGGGTTGGAGTGACTGTCGCCCGCAGCAGACTTCTGGACTGGGCGGGCGAACCCGATAGGGTTCTGGAGGCGGCG